CCCGTGCCCTGGGCAGGAGGCAGAGCGGGAAGCCGAAAGCGGCACGCGGGGGCTGCCCGGGGAGGGTGGGCTGCGGCCAAGCCCCCTCAGATGCGGCGATGGGTCGGCCGCCATCTCGCTCTGCGGCGTTTCTCGGTGCGGGACACCGTGCCAGCCGGATCAGAGGGTATCGGGGGTGTGTTTGCAGAGGAACAAGTGCGGCGCGATTGACGGGCAGCGCTGCGTGGGGACAGGTCTTTGACACCGCGCTCTGCACTGTAGGGCATATTCCAAGGCAGCTGTTCTTTGCGGTTTTTCTCTCTGCATCCTCAACATCGGTGATGTCCAGAAATAAGGGGGGATGGAAATGCAGTTCCTAAGTCAGGAAGTGCTGGAAGGATGGATTCCCCAGGGCCCTTTTCCACATCCATCCTATGCATTCAGCTCCCACATTCCTCCGCAGACCTCTCCCATCACCAGGGCTGTTTTCTTCTCAGCCCAGCACCAGGGTTTCTGTAAAGAAAAAGGTTAAGCAGTTTTGGTGGCTGGAAACTTGTTAATGCTGAGGAAGACATACTTCCCCTTCATCCTTCTGAAGAGGGTTAAGCAATTTCAGCTGAAATTTTTGACATACACACCCCGCACACCCCCCACCCTGTTGCACAAAATGTCAGCCCGAGGTTGGCGTCTGGCTGGCAGCAAGCAAACAAAATGCACTCAAAAATTAAATCATTTAACAAAAGGCGATGGTCAATTTTAAGTCTATTTGCTGTACCACTGATAACTGTTATGTAATTAAGATAACTACAGCTTATATAGTTACTAAGAAGAAATACACGGAGGCAGTAAGCCGGTGGGGATCCACGGCGGTCAGTTCAGTTGGCTCAAGGCTGCGGTCTTTGCCCGGCGCAGGTGACAGTGGGAAGCGTGGAACTGATTTCAGCCTGCACTGGATCCGGCCCTGCCTGCGGCATCTCTCATGCCCCAGCAGCTACCAGCAGGTTTCAGCCAGGTGGATGTTAGGGATGGCTCTTGTTGGTACTCAAGTTAACACGGTTGCCTGTTACCATGCAAACCTGTCAAGACATTTGGTGAATTAATCCCTTCAACCATTATGCCTTTGACTTGCTAATTTCTAAGTCACCATAAGCCATCTTAGATTTCCTGACTCTCCCGTGTCTTCAGCTGAATCACTCATGAGCCAAGTCTTTTTGAGGTATTGATACTCCCTACTGTTTACGTGGTATTTATCCTTTAAGGATATTTAATGGGCAGGTACAAGACAGGTCAGGTGCTTAGAAATATAGCTCGGCCACATTCTGGCATGCTCCGGCTTTACAGCTCCCATCCCCAGACCTTCCTTTGGTTACTTAAGTTGTAGGAGAAACCAAGTCCTTGGGGGAAAAAAAAAACCCTTGCAAAGATTCACATATGCAGAATATGTGAGTAAGAGGTTTTTTGTAAGAGGTTGATTAATGAAAAATTTCCATAAGAGGTTGATTAATGACTGTTGTGATATTATTTGGAACTAACTTTTGAGGGGGAAATACAATGAATCAGCTTCAGTGTCCTGAAGAGCCCCACTTCCCAGGCCCTTGGCATCCCAGAGACGTTGGGGATCTCAGCAACTGAGGGGAGCCTGATTTCGGCACATTCGGTTTGCTCCCAGCTTGATTTTGTGTGCTATGTTTTGTAAGGAGCAATTAAAGCTACTGTTAATTATTATTTGATAATTGTGAAGAATGTGTTCAATGCTAATGTAAGGCTAGTCTTTGACCAGAGGGGAATACACTGAGATAAAAGTCCCAACAGTGAGCTTTAATTTTTAAGCTGCCCCGTGCTAGTTGGGGGCCATCACTTCTGAATGTGCCTTGGCAAGCAGTGCTTTCTTCACCTGTCTGTACTACTGTTATTACTATTACTACTTGCTTTAACACCTGCAATAATGAAGAACCATTTGTAATACTCAAGGAGCTGATGATCCATGTGTTTGGCACGGCGCAGGCATGCAGCAAACAGAAGTTGCTGTCATAGCCTTGGCTTCGACAAGGTGCCAGCAGCAAAGCAGCTGAGCAGATGGGGGCAAGGAGATAGGGCTCCGGGACATGGCAGGACCATGGGCACTGCCCACAGGGGTGCTGCGGTGGCCAGGACCTTTGGTGGGCTCCCATGCAAGACGCCCCGGGGGAGTGGAGCTGCCTCGCAGCTGCTGCGGCGATCAGATGCAGACGCACTGTCCCCGTTCCACTTTCGAGAGGCAAGTAAGACTTTCTCAGAAACCAGACTTTCAGTATTGCAGCAAAACTTTCAGTCATGCCATCTTCCTGGCCTGTGGTGGGCTGTGGAGGTGGCTCATGGCTGCTGTCCCTCCGGCCAGCTGGCAGCGTGCAAGGGCAGGCGGTGGGCCAGCAGACGTGGATTGCCGAAGCAGTAAGATCCCATTTGCAGCCTTTTGGGTGCTGAGGAAGCGGCCCCGAGGGCGCGCGCAGGCGGCTGCCTGTGCGCGGGGGTGCTGGGATGCCAGCTGGGTGCCTGGCTGCCGGCAAGGGCAGAAGTCCTCACGCTGCTGCCACCTCCCTCAGGCCACTTGTTCCCCACTCACCCAGGGCCACCTCAGAGGCCAAACATCCCTCGGGCTCCCTGGGCAGCGAGGGAGGGAGGCAGAGGCACTCTGCAGCAGCCCCGGGGCCGAATAGTCGGAGGGCGACGCAGGCGCTCGTCCCTGCTTTGGGTGGATTGCTGCAGCACGCCCACCACCAGCAGCCTCTGTAACCCATCCCAGCGACATGTCTCTCTCTATATCTCTATATACATATACTAAGTATTTATTTTGTATTACATCATATTGTATTTGTTGTATTTGTTCTAGATGGTTGTGTATATTGTATATATACACTATACTATGCTATATTATATTATGTGATATGATATGATACTCTATTTTTTATATATTTATATAAAAACTCTTGTACCATCCATTAATTGTGGTGATCCTCAACGTGTTTCCTTGTGCTAGATCACTGGACACTTAGATGTTTTGATGGCTCACAGCATTAAGAAGAAGAAAACTGTCCTTACTGAGCAATTTACCACCAATCTCTCTTTTTTTTTTCTTTCTCCCTTTCTCCCTTTCTGCTAATGGCTTTCCAGGGGCCGACCTGAAAGTCACTGGGATCGACTTTCTCAAGAGCCAGAACTCCTGCCAGCACCACACGGACGCGTACAACACCAAGAGCCTGGTGGTGCGGCGCGGGCAGGCCTTCCGGCTGCAGCTCAGCTTCAGCAGGGAGCTGAAGGCTGCCGACAAGCTGGTGCTGCGTTTCGGCATCGGTAAGCGGGTACCCCCCCTGCGGGTGTTTTTTTTTCGGGGTGACGCCCGGGCAGCCTCCGGCTGCGGGTTCCTGCCGCCAGGCACCGTGCGGCTATTGCAGACCCGTGCAAGCCTCCCACATCTCATGTTGGGTTTGTTTCCAGGCAAAAAGCCAATGAAAACTGCGGGGACACTGCTGTCGCTGAAGCCATTTTCCCTGAAGCAGAAGCAGGACTCCAGCGGGTGGCAAATCTCCATCGTCAAGAGCAGCGGCAAGGAGGTAGAGCCCGTGGGCAGAGCTCCCGCACGGAAGGCAGCAGTGCCAAGCCCATCGGGAGCTACAGAGCAAATCCCCACACCCCTGTCCTGCTTTCCCTTAGCCCTATCATTTTAGGTGGGCAGCAGCCTTGCCCTCTTTAATTCATTGCTCCCCCGCTGCACGCGCAGGACGTGCCCCATCCCGCTGCCTTCCCCTCTCCACCTGCACGGCCGCCCGTGGCCGCCGGCTTCAGCGCTCGTGCCGGTCCCGCGGTGCCGTGCTTGTGCCGTGCCTGTGGCCGTCGTGGAGGGTCTGTCATGCCATCTCTCCTGTCACCTCCCCAGTGCCTGCTGTCTGTCACCAGCTCGCCCATGGCCCTGGTAGGAAAATACACCGTGAACGTGAAGACTGGGACTAACATTTACAAGCCCGAAAACAATGCTGTCTACCTTCTGTTCAATCCTTGGTGTGAAGGTGAGTGGTCCCACGACTGAGGGTAATAATTGCTGCTGACAGGGATTGTCCTCAGGGGAGCTTTTCCTCACATTTATCCTCCTCTCTTTCCCACATACATCGTTTTTTCTCCCTAAAACACCGCAAGCCTCATCCTCACAGAGCCAGCAGGAAGCTGGGTGAGAGCAATGAGCCAGCTCCTCACTGGGAAGTCCCCGGTGCCGGGTTAAGGGGCATCTTTCTGTCACCTGTATTTGCATCTCTATGTCACCCCTCTCTGTTTCCCGAGGCCAGCACAAAGGTTAACTGAGTGGACTGGCTTGGCTTAAAATCCATGTAAAAAAAAAAAAACAAACAAAAAAACCTGTGTTGTTGGCCAGCATCAGTCCCCCAGTTCCCTCTGCTGTCTACCTAGTCCACTAAAGTGTTTGTTCAGAATGAAGTGTTTCACTAAAATAAAACAGTGGTCATATAGCAATAGACCTACAGGAGTAAAATAAAGCTTAGTCTTAGAGGAATTCTTCCATGGCAGGAAAAAAAATGCGAGTGCTGCATGGTCATAATTTGGTGTGAATGTTACAGACCACTGGCTCCCCCAGTTTAGCTTTCAAGGAAAACTTCATGTAGTGTGTGTGCAAACCACCTAACATCTGAGGGGTTTTTTGCTCCAGGTGATGTCGTCTTCCTGGCTGATGAAGCGCAGAGAAAGGAGTATGTGCTCAACGATACAGGCTACATCTATGTTGGGTCTGCATACAACATATACGGTAGACCCTGGAATTTCGGGCAGGTAAAACGCAGCTGTCCCGTCAGTGTTATTACCCTTATTCACTCTTTCTGCCGTAGGCGTTCGGTTCAATGAATCAGACCTATAAAGAGTTTAAGCCGATGAATAGCTCAAAGTGCTTGAATAATCCTGCCGGCTTCACTGGGAGGGCTCACCTGCTTCGGGTAATCTGCATGCTTAAGTATTTTCCCAGGCCACAGTTTGAGAACAGGGTTTAATGGCATGTTTATCGTCAGACCATGAGGCCCCTGGCAAAGGACGTGGAAACTGGGAACAAAATATTTCTGGTTGAAAAAATTCCCATAAGGAGTCCTCCTCGCTCCCATGCAACACAGTAGCTGTCGGTAACCAGCTCATGAGCCGCGGAGAGGGCGGGCGGGAAAAAAATCTGATTATTTACCTGTTGCATCATGATCGGGAAAAAACAGGGCAAAAGCACTGGCAGAGGTTGTCATCGTTCAAGTGGTGCCTTCACCGACTGCGAGGTGAACTGTTGGGTGCAGGACACAATCAGCCCGCCCTCTCAGGAAGGGAGTTCCTCCACGCTGCCTCTGAGATAACTCCAAGTGGAGTGGTACGACAAACTTGCTCAGGCTAGAGATAAGAGGTGGATGCCAGAGCAGGTTGGTTTGCACCCGGTGGAAAGCACTCCGGCACCCAAACTGAGGATGCTGTACCCTATTCAGACAGACTTCCACACCAAAAAATGTTGGGATCTTGGGGTTTTTTTTTTTTCTTTTTTGTTTGTTATATTTTATAAGTCTGCGATCTCAAGGCGCAGGGTGCAGATAGCCCAACAAAAGTGCTTGTGCTAATGCCTTTTCCACGAAGGGACCAAAGGGCACTGTCCATAGGGCTGTTCCTATCCTAATATTTATTCTGCTGTTAAGCAATGAGAATTGATATTGATATTCTGCCAAGCTTTGTTGGATTGGACGTTTGACATCTCTGTGAATTGGACCTCAGGGAGCTTTATGAGCAATTACTAATTAGGAATCTTTTGCTATAATAATCTGCATTTACGTACCTTCCCCCCACCTCCCCGGGTTCATTTTGTACGTATGTCAATAGACTGAATATCTGTAGCGCTCTTAAATTTTCATTACTCTTGTGAGTAATTTGCAGGGCTGCAGGGAGATGACATAGGTGATTTAGGACTACTCACAGGAGTAAAGATTGCTGGGTCAGGTTACAACTGTGTTTGCAGGATACCTGAGATGGGCTTTTGTCTTCCAAGGTGGGGTTTCATTTAAACCTCTCTTTGGAGAGAATAGCTTTGGGAAGCCCCATAGGCTTGGAAATTCAATATCGTAAAGGAAGTTTAGAAGTTAGGACTAGTCAGACAGTTTCCTCCAAGTACTTTGTGGTGATTGAGCAAATTCTGCTTTAGAGCGACGTATAAAAATGTCTCCGCTTTCTCTCCAAAACAGTTTGAGGAATTCATCTTGGACGCCTGCATGTATCTGCTGGACAACAGCAAACTCAAGCTGAGCAATAGAAGGGACCCTGTGTTTGTGTCCAGAGCCATGTCTGCTTTGGTACGCCTCTCTCGGAGAAATGCTTTGCCCCTCCAGCTTTCCCTCCTCCTTCTTACTTGCTCTTCTTTCGCTGGGGCCTCGAACACCATTTCAGGATGCATCTGAAATGGGTTCCTTTGGGAAACCACAAGGAAAGAGCCAGAGGCATTTTGGGTGAAGGGAAGAGGCAAAATACAGCATCTCCCCATCTCCAAAGCTTGCAGCTGCCCCGGTGGTTGTCCTTCCTCAACATCGGCAGGGCCAACACAAGGGTTGTGTTTTGGCGGGGCAACTGGTCTCTCTAGCGGGACCCTTCTTAGAGCCCTGAGGTTTAAGATACAAGATGCAGAGTGCATTTTGGCTGCCCTGAGCAGCGGTGCACCTCTAGATATCCTGGTGGAGGGTTTCCAACCAGGGGAGCCCCCATCCAGCACCAGCAGCCTTGCTGGGTGCCACAGGGCTGTGGAGCACCTGGGGAGCCACAGGGTGAGCAGAGACCCTGGGGTTTAAGCCTCATTCAGCCTCATCCCCATATTTTTCTCCTTTGCATATGGGTGTGACCACAGGTTAATGCCAACGATGACAACGGTGTCCTGATGGGGAACTGGTCAGGGAATTACAGCAACGGGACCTCCCCTATGGATTGGATTGGGAGCGTCTCAATTTTGCAGAAGTATTACAAAACGAAGATGCCGGTGTGTTACGGTCAATGTTGGGTCTTCTCAGGAGTCCTCACTACAGGTAAACAGTGAACTGTCTCCCTTCTCCGATATCCTAATTGCTGTGCTAGTAAGCCAAATTACTGTGCCTCTGGGTGCCAGAGGTGGCAGGGGCTATCACGTGGGGAGAGGCTGAGGGAGCCGGGACTGCTCAGCCTGAAGAAGAGAAGGCTCAAGGGGTCTTATCCATGCCTATAAATACCCAGTGGGAGGGAGTGGGGCAAATAGAGACACGCTCTTCTCAGTGGTGCCCAGTGACAGGACCAGAGATGATGGGCACAAACCTGAAACACAGGAGGTTCTGTCTGAACATGGGAAAAAAGTTTTTTTCACTGTGAGGGTGACTGACCGAGCACTGGCAGAGGTTGCCCAGAGAGGTTGTGGAGTATGCACCATTGGAGATACTCAAAAGCTGTCTGGACAGTCCTCCTCCTGCTCTGGAGGACCCTGGGTGGGCAGAGGGGTCAGGTGAGATGATCCCCAGAGGCACCAACTTGAGTGATTTTGTGACCCTGTGTTTTGTCTGTCTGTGCTGCAGTCATGCGCTGCTTGGGGATCCCGTCCCGCTGCGTGAGTAATTTCAGCTCAGCACACGATACGGAGGAGAACCTGACAGTTGATATTTACCTGAACGAATCTGGAGAAAAGCTGAACTCGATGTCCCTCGACTCCGTCTGGTACTGCCAAAGGGGGCTAACACTTCCTACCCTACCGTGCTGCCCCGCAGCGGCACATTTCCCAGCCCCAGCAATTCTTTCGAGAATTTCCCTACTGCTTCAGGTTTGCTGCCCGAGAGAGAGAGAGGAAGCGTGGGGTTTCACAGGGTTACAGGCAAATCCCCATTAAACCTGCCCTTACTTAAGGATTAAGGGAGGAGATCACGACTCTTCTGGCTGTAACAGCTCAATCCTTTTCTTTCCAACCCCAATGCACACAGGAACTTCCACGTGTGGAATGACGTCTGGATGAAGCGGACAGACCTGCCGGCAGGGTTTGATGGCTGGCAGGCAATCGATTCAACCCCTCAGGAGCAAAGTCAAGGTAGGATTCGCTTAGAAAGGCTCTTCTGCAGCTCCCAAGGGAGTTGGGAGTTTCATATGAAAAACATGGTCCCCTGTCAGCAAAGCACAAACACCCCGTGCACATCTTCACACACCTGGGCAGTCTCATCCTAAAGCTGGAGGTCTCACTCCTACCATCTCAGCCTGGGACAGGAGGAATGGCATTTCCTGGCAGGCAGAAAACCAACCTTGCAGAACACTGTGGGGACATGAATGTAATTTCAGAGGTTAGAGCACACAGCTGGAAATCAGAGCTAATTTCTCTTTCCACCATCCTCTGGTTTCTGTGGTGAAGCTGAGGACAAAGCAGTCTGTATTAAGAGGTGCCACAGCTTTCCCCAGTAAAGATGCTTTCTGTAGAGCTTTCCTGAGGAAGTCATGAGTCCGTTCATTGGTAAATGAGAGGATTGACTGCCAAAGTTGGTGACTACCCTCCCAAGCACGGATACAAGGTATTTGGAGGCATGAAAGAAAACATTAATCCTCAAGGCTGTGCAGAAAGTGGGGTATTTCCAGATTAAACACAGGTGGCTGGACTCGGTTGACTCCATCACCGAGCCATGACTTTCAAACCTTAAAATTACTTAAGGGAGGGGAAACACATAAAAGCTCTTACCAGACCTTTGTCATCTATAAGAATCCCAAAATGGGATACATGGGGGCTTTTGGAGTTCATCACTGTGTTAGAGAAATATTTACTATTAAGAGTCAACTACCACGGCCACAAATTCCCTGTACCAAATTCCCTGGTAGTGGGTCTGAGGGTGCAACAAAAATTGGAGGCTCTGCTCATATTTGGAAACGCAAATGGTGTTGAATGCGCTTTCTAGGTATTTTCCAGTGTGGTCCATGCCCGCTGAAGGCTATCCGAGAAGGGGATGTGTATTTGCCCTTTGACAGCAAGTTTGTGTACGCGGAAGTGAATGCTGACAAAGTCTACTGGGTCGTCAGGAAGGTGAACGGCAAGGACAAGTACACCAGGATTAGCACGGAGACCCAAGGCATCGGCTTGAACATAAGCACAAAAGCTGTGGGGCAGGACAAGCGGGAAGACATCACCGCGCAGTACAAGTTCCCCGAAGGTGACCGCCCCCATCCTCTGAAGCAGTGCCAAAGAGGGGACCCCTGGCCGTCTAGGTCACCCCACAACACGTGTTTTCTCCAGGAGAAAAGCACAGGGGTATCTGCAGTGGCAAACCTCGTGTAAGGCCCTGAGACCTGGGGGAGGCAGCGCTGCTCCTGGGCATCTTCATGCCCGCAGTGACACCTATAGGCTGCTCTGTAGGGACAGGTGCGAGCAAGCTTGCAGGCAGTGAAAGAAACGGGCAGAGTGACCAACCTAGTGGTCGGATTCACCGTTGCTCGATTTCTTCATTCTTCTTTTAGTCTTTCCATTCTCCTGACCATATTGGAAACACAAACCCAACATTCCCTCCCCCTGGTTCTCAGATCCAGCCGTGTTGTGCTAGACCGCTAAACCCTTCCCAGTGAGGAGTGGGAAAATATTAGGCTGAAAAATTTAAGAGTATCCATCCTCTAGAAGTGTATCCTTCAGGAAATTCTTCCAGTCTAAAATGCTGCAGTTAGATCCAGTGGTAGCATAAATCAAGAGGGTCTACTGAGCCTCCTGAGCAGAGGCTGGAGATGCCCTGACATCCTCTCTGCTCAGCAGCAGAGGCATAAATAAAGGGAAGGTAGCTCTGGATGAGGAGACTGAGATACAGCTATCATCACCCACCTTTTGTGTTCATCCAGGCTCCAAAGAGGAAAGGAGGGCCATGCAGAGAGCTTCCTCCTTCATACGCCCACCAGGAATGGCACCTCGTGCATTCTTCGCTGCGACTGTGCCCATGGATGACGTGGACTCCAAGCCTGAGGTCCTGTGTGAGGCAATCTCCAAGACGGGGCTCCAGCTTGAGATAACCAATAAGGAAGCTTTGCATCCTGGCAAGCCCCTTGAACTAGTCATCACAGTGAAGACCTCTGCTCCTGGGAGCTGGATCGTCAATCTTGCTGGCTCCTGCCAACTGCAGTCCTATACTGGGAAAGCTGAGGCCAGCCTTGGATGTGTCAAGGAGACCGTCAAGCTTGAAGGCAAATCTGGTAGGCACGGAAAGCTTGCTGTGTTCTGTGGGCTATTTACTGTGGCAGTCTGGGGTTTCACTCAAGCTGGTTCACAACAGCTCCACTATAGGTCAGTGCATGGCTCTGTACAGCAGAAGAACAGAAATTGCTTGCTACCTACTTCTCTTACTACATTTGGGAGTCTCAGTTATAGACTGGGATGCCACTGTAGCGGTGACCAAAACATGAAGACCAAAACATTTAGATGGCTGGAATTTTCAGCCTTTTTTTGTTCTTGTGCTTGCCACTCTAATGTTGATCAGCTGGTGGTGATGCTGATGAGTGTTATTTTTGGAATTCCTGGCCCAAGAAAATTTCAACCTCGTGGCTGCCTGCCTGGCAGATACCAAGAGCTGTTTGCTCTTCATTGCCTATCTTTGAGCGACCTGGGTTGCACATCTGATCCCCAGCAACGTGACTGAAATTTGCTAAAGAAGAGACTAACGAGTCATGAATAATTAACAGCACTTGCTCATTCCAAGCGTGACTCACTCTCGCAAAAAAAAATCTTTGCTGCTAGTGCCTGCTGAGTGTTTTCCTGTGCATACCCTGGCTGTCAAAATGCAGCAGGGTAGGACACAAAGGTAGCTACGTACTTTTAGAGATAAGGACAGGCTTTTTGTTTGATTCCCCGAAGCCAGGAAGCCTTGTGGCTAAAGCAATGTTCAGGCTTCAGTGCTGCTGACTCTAGGGCTTTTCCGAGCCACTGGAAGTTTGTCCAGGCGATTAAGATAAAATCTGAAGTGAAAGGAAAGCCGCTAATTTCATAGCAAGTGGTGCCTCAGAGAAAGCCCAGGGGACATGGGCCTAAATGTACCCAACCTCGCGCTCCTCTGCCTCCTCCTGAGTGCCGGGGCAGCCGGGGACGAGGGCTGCTGAGACGCTAGATGTGGGCCTGAGGCGGCATTCGGCTTGGCGGGGAGATGGTGCAGGCTCGGCCGCCCGTCCTGCGGGCTACGTGAGCCGGTACCACTCGCCGAGCTGTGGCTTCCCCCCGCAGGGACCCCAGGGCGGGCCACAAGTAGGGTGGTCTCGGCAAATACGCCGCATCCTGAACCCTGGGGCACCAGCCACCAGAGCCAAATTTGCCATCCAGTTCATGGGTATTTGGTGAAGCACCGAGTTGTGTTTTCCCTCCCGCAGAGATGCAGGTCCCTCTGAAAATCGCAGCCGACGTGTACATGAAGATGCTGGCCTCGCTGCAAGACGAAATGCTCATCCACATCACGGCCATGGCCGAGGTCCAGGGAACGGACGAGAAGCTCACCAAGGAGATGACGATGAGCTTTGAGTACCCCCCCATCACTGTCCAGGTGAGGCAGCTGCCAGCCCGGCTCCTCGGGGACAAGGGTTAAAGCCCTGCTCGCTATAACACCATGGTGGTGTTAGCATTCCTGGGGGGGATCTCCCAAACAGCTGCCTCCGGGGATGCTCGGTCCTTGGCATTTATTTGGCTATTCAACCTTAATTTGAAGGTTGAAAGCAGCCATGAAATGAAGATTTTATTGCCTCATCTAAAATGGGCAGGCAGGGGCTGTTGAAGGGAAGGGCATGGAAGAGGACGGTTTGTATGGGGCCCATCTCTGACCCCACAGCTCTACCTCCTGAAGGAAAAACGTGTTGAGAAACCAGAAAGGAGAGCTGGGAAAACAGCCGATGGGACAGAGCACACAGTGCCACAGGAGGGTGGAAAGGACATGGGGGGTCATCCCCCCCACGCTGGTGGTGAGGAGCAAACTGGCAGCAGCTCCAGCATCTTTATTACCTCTCTGATCCCCAGCATTTGGGTTTGTTTCTCTCTCTCCTCCTCTGCCAGATGCCAGAAACAGCCAAACTGAACAAGGAGTTTGCCTGTGCCTTCATCTTCAAGAATACGCTGAACATGCCCCTGGACAACTGCAAGCTGCTGGTGGAGGGCCTGGGCATATTTAAGATGGCAACATTTGATGAGGGGTAAGGAGATGAGCCCAGTATGAAACGAGCATGGCAGGATTCTGCTTTGTTTCTTTTTTTTTTTAATTTCCCTTAAATAAGCCGTTAGGGGATTTGGAGTAGCAGAGCCCCTTGCAAGCTATACTCAGTCCACACGGCAGAAAGACCCACGCAGAGCTTGGCGTGCTCGGGGCATTTGGGCACGACAGGGGCTCTCCCCGCGCTCCTGCGGTGATGCTGGGTGCTACCCGGGCAGTGTGAACACAGCTGCTTCCTTCAGAGCCAAAATTTAGTGTTTCAGCAGTACAGGAAAGCCTGGGGAAGGTTCCCAGGATCTCTGGGACTACCAGCCAGCGCCGCCGTGCTGAGCCCTGCTTGCTGCCCGTTGGTCACGGGAGAAGGGGAACACCCACCCTAAACACATGGCGGTGGCTATTTCTTTAAGCAAAACGGTTTGAAAGAATCATAACTCATGCTGGGACTATTTATTTTTTCTTTCTGCTTAGGGATGTACAGCCTGGTAGGATCATTAAGTCCGAAATAATATGCACTCCGACGAGACTAGGAGAGAAGAAAATGGTAGCCAAGCTGACCTCGACCCAGATCAAAGGGATCTCTGTGGAGAAGACCATCACCATCACCGAGTAGGATCGGTGCCTCGGTGGGGTGTAAGCGGTGGCCTTATTAAATGCGTAGCACCACTGCGTGTCTCGGGCACTTCTTGCCTCCTCGAGAGCTGGGTGGTGCTCTCAAAGTAAAACAGCAAAATTCCCATTAAGCTAAGGGAATTAAACTGATCTAAAGGGCACAGCTGTGTTGTGATTCAATAAAGGCTGTTAAAATCGACTGTGTCATCGGGTTGTATGACATGGCCGGGCTGGGATGGCTCCGAACGAGGGGACATTCCGGCCTCAGGCCAGGGACCAGAGCTCACAACGGTGCCAGCTTCGGCCGGGGCGGTGGGTGTGAGCCTGGGGGCGTTTTGCAGCCCCTTGGCTGCCAGGGCCAGCAGCGCCGTGGTCCTACACCAGAGGCCACCCAAGGACCTCACTGCACCACGGCTGCAGCTCCAGAAACATTTTAAGCAAGCTGGGGAATGTACTGGCACGTGCCTCTTTTTGTCTTTAGACAACAAAAAGAGCAAAGCTGGCACAGTCCCTCCAACCCTCCAACCTCCATTTTTCATACTTGTTCCTATCCCACACAATTTCTTTTGGGGGTTTTCAGGTATTTTTGGAAGAAGTACCACTTCCAGCAGCATTACCAGTGCTTCCCTAGAGATGAATAACCTCTAGCCTTCCTTTTCCACTCCGAATGCTGCTGGATTACAGATAGGACCTTGATGG